TGACTGCGTGCACCAGTGCATGCTCTAGATCTTGGCAGGACCAAATTCCTGCTGTGCCTGAACACCAACAGGTTGGCCCAAAGTAAAGTACTCCATGCTATATTCTGTGAGTTCCCCCCACAGGGTACCATAAGGGCAGTGACTGAATAATAATGATTTAACTTTATTGATTTCACATTGGAGAAATTCACTCTCTGCATTTAACCCATCCCCTTGGGTAGCAGTGGGCTGCCATTGTGTGGCACCTGGGGAGCAGTGTGGGGTTAAGGGTCTTGCTCAGGGACCTAGAATGCAAGCTGTGGGGATCAGGTTATCAATGCTGTCACCTCATATTGTCTCCAGTTAAGACCATAAGAACTCGAGGCAACTTGATCTTCATAGCTTTTTATCTGAGTTCCATAGCTGCCTTTCGTGCAGGTTCCCTTATTGTATGAATGATAGTAGATATAAATGTTGGTTTTCTCTCGAAGCTCCATCTGCCAAATATTAGGATGAACTTGTTTTGCAAAGACTGCAAACTCAGGCAGAAAATTATAAGATGGCACTCTTTTTGGACCTGCTTGGTATAACAACACTTGACACATACACCCTAGAGGAAAGGATATACTGTATATGCTGCAATAAAATAGATACTAAGAAAAATGATTTGTGGACTGGTGCCTTCTGTGGTGCCGAGCTTGCTCTAGGGTCCATCAGGCAGCCCTGCTTAACACTGGAACTGGAACTAGAACATCCTTTTTTGTCTTTGATCTTTGGCTTAATTGCTCATTTCCTTCGCCTGTATAGATTCATTTCCGCTGGCCAGTGGTTAGAGGGGTTTTTAGCATACCAGAGTGTTTCTGATTTCCTGATCCTGGCCTGTTCTGCCTCTCAACCACTGAGCCTGTCCTGTCTGTTCCTGTCTGAAGGTCTGCCTGAACTTTCTGTGGACTCCTGAAACCCTGAACCAGACTGTTCCTGTTCTGATCTGAATGCATGGGACAGTAAGACCTGGACATGTGATGTGGGGAATTGGCAGCCTGGGGTCGGGCATTGCTGGAGGATGCTGCAGCTCTAGGACTGGCACTGGTGACCCACTGCCACCTGTGGGTTGGGGTTGGATCCTGCTATTTTCCATGGAAGCTGAGGAGGAGGGTGCAGGGCGGGGGAGGGTGGGTGTCTTGTTCTCTCTGCAGCATCTCTTGATTTCACCGCATTCACTCCCCCACAGGAGGCCTGGATGTTTGAGGGTTGGTCTGTCGGGCGACCTGCTCGGTCCATTTGCTGAGATTGCCCATTCCAGTCCCTTTTGTAGGAGAAATGTGTGTGCAAGTAGGTGTGTGTTGCTGCTTGGAGTCAGATTGGCAAGAGATCTTAAGGGACTGGGCATCTTTGGGGTAAGACCCATCGGGGGTCCGACTTCGGGTACTCTCATGTCCCCTTCTCTGACCTCCTTGTGTACCAGTGATCTGTGATGACTGTGGATAATGGGGCTTGCGTTGCCTCTCTTTCTGACCTGAGGCCTGGAGGACTAGTCTGGGCCCGCCACAAAGCTTGAAGAAGCTTTGTGAACTCTTTATACACGAGCATACTCATGCATACATATCATGGGAGTTTGGTTCTAGGTGTTCACGGATTCTCACTAATACTAAATACTAGGCTGTAGCTACAGATACATACCAACCTCAATAATATTGTGGAATCACCATAGGCTTTGACTCCGACACATATGGCTATTTAAAGGATACCTGTTGCTCTTGAAGCCTTTTTTTTAATGTTTACTTTGATGGTCTATTGTCTTCTTTTTGCTGTTACACTGTCTCTTTTGTGTTTCTCTCATCTCATCCAGTTATAGAAGAAGACTTCCAGGAGTTACTGTAGATCTTTCTTGTCTATTTTTGCTGATTTTGTCTTTTCTCTTATATTTTATTCTATTTTGTTCTATTCTTTCCTGTCTTTATCAATCTCTCTCACCTTAGTTCTCATCCCCTCCCTCTTTTTCACCTCTCCTTCCTTCTCTGTGGCTGTTGCACAGGAACTTCCAACCCGAAGTACATTCAGGGAAAACAGGCTACAGGCACTTAATCCCAAATTGCTTATCAATGTGGAAGTTTGTGTGATAATGTTAGGGGGATGTGGTTCTCCTTTAGAGGGATTTGAGTGGTCAGCATGACTGCTTGTGTTGCCTCTTCTCATGTTGCTTCACCTTCATGTTGTTGTTGATTATCTTCTTTATGCTTATGCTCTGGTCCTGCATTTGGTTTTGCCCTGAAAACAACCTTAACAGCATAACAGTATAACTATAGAAAGATCTTATAATACAACATAACTTTGCATCAAATGTTTTAATAGGATGATTTTTTTGCCTCCTACACCACTGTTGCTCCAGTATTCTCCTAGTGCAGGCTTCAGTTCCCTCTCACACACCAAGGTCACAGGTCTCCATATTTCCCTCTGGACATTCATTCTGTGCTGTGTTTTTGTGTTGCTTTGCAATGCACATGCTCACTTAAAATTGATAAAAGAGGTTATTGTTATTAGATAGAAAAAGCTTCTTAAGCAGGTATTAACCTTAATTAACATGTTTAAGTGAAAAAAGGTTCTGAAAAGTTCTGAAAAGTTTAAAGTTTTCATCTTTATATGAAAATATTAATCTATCCTTTCTGGGACAAAAGCTAAACTCTTTTAATGTCATTCAGCAGGATAAGTATATTTTTATCTCTATGTTTAATTAAAGATCTTTCATATCTCTCACATGAAGGAGAAGCTGTAAAACTCATTAGTTGTGATATGAAGACATGTCAGAGACAAAAAGATCATAAAATAATTTTTTCTCATTCAAGTCCCATTGACAGAACGTGTTGGACTGGTTCCAGCTTCATCTTCCTATAAATCACATGTTGCTTCTGTCTCTTTCAGTCACGTTAAAAGTTTTCTGAGCTCTTAAAATAGATTCTCATCTGAAGGTGTTTAATTGGAAAGTGTGAGGTTGTCTAATATGGAGTTTACATAACTTCCCGTATGCATGAGTCTCTTTGTTGACCACTGATGGATTTGGTGAGATGTCCTCATTTCTGAGAGAATGTATATAATAGTGGGGCTGACAGAAAGAACATCGTTTAACATTATCTAACCTCCAGGTCCTCTTTAATCTTCACCCTCTCTACACACACATTCTTAAGTTCCGTAAAAGTAAAAAAAAAAAAAAAATCTACTGGACTTGGTTTCCAAGATTTGAAGACGTTTCGCCACCTCTTCAGGAAGCTTTCTTAGTTCAAATGTCTGGATCCGCAGTGAGTTTGAGTCTTTATATAGACAAGGTCTTGTATTGCTTGGAAACATGCGAATGCAAACCAATGAGTGGGTCGTTTGGTTCCATTGTTAGCCTGTAATATCTGAAACCTGTCTATAATTCTGAAGGTCGGTCGTTAAAGTGGGGATTGTCGTTACAGGGGGAGATTGTCGTTAAAGGGGGGGCTAACAATGGAACCAAACGACCCACACATCGGTTTTCCATTTGCATGTTTCCATGCTAATGGGCACATGCATTTATGAACCTAACAAATATAAATATGGGTGAGATGAGCTCCATCTAAGCGACCGTCTTTTTATTGTGTCACCGCAGATCCGCAAGGAGAAATGGGCTTGTGCACGCACTCGCGTGCATTTGGGTTGTGCATGTGCATTTTCTTTTTAAGTGGAGAGGGAGGTTCTTTTCAAAAATTCATGAAAATCTCCACTATAACTTTAAGGCAGGTACATCTATTCATTAGCTTTTAAATATGAGGAAGAGCATGTGGCCTGAAATGTCACTACTATGTTTAGTGAAAAAAAACAACAACCTTGGAGGTGTAATTAGGGTCCGGATCCATATTATTTACATTTTTTAATACAGAGAGACATCCTGTGATTTATAGATATTGTATTTCAGCGGTGTATTTAACTTGTCTTTAGACGAAAATCGTTTTAAACATGGTTTGATGAAATATATTTTTAGTTATGCGTCCATCGTGCAAAACACAAAACCACCAATAAAAATCATATATTGATATATATGAGCTGTGAGGTAAAAGAGGCACATAATCTATTATCCTCCTTGTTTGTAAAGATTTTTTTAACCTAATTTTTCGCTGCTAAAAAGAAAAACACTAAAACTTGAGGCTATAAGACATAAAAAAATCATCTAGAGCCGATTCTCTTTCAGAACTGCTCCTATTTAACGTGTTTCAGCGAGAAAAGAAGGTTAAGACCTTCAACTTATTTTCATTGTGATCATCTAGAAATATGATCTACCTCTACCTAGGAAATAAAGGCAAACAGTTTCCGTCACGTTGAGTTTTAAACCATTGCTTGGAAATGTATAACAGGTTTGTTTGTGTCTAAAATTTTCCCCTGGGACACTTGCCAAAGTCACAGCTGACCGTAAAGCTCAGTAGGCTCGGAACGCTGCCAACACAAACAGAAGCCGTCACTGTTAAGAAAAGCTTTGTTTTCATTCCAGTCAGATTTTAAAAACAAACATCTTCACTTGGTATGTTAGGTTGGAGATGATTCCCAAAGTCTGTTTGTACACAACAGAATGCAGGCAGCATATTTTGACTAACTCTTTGGGTGTGTTACTATTCTTCAAAGAATAGATGCATTGTTTTCACATTTCTTTGTTTAAGTCCAAATACTCAACAACAAGTTTAAATGAAACATTTTATTTTATTTTTCTGATGCTCATAGATATAAGAAAAAAATTATAAGTGTCATAATTTCTCAACAACTCAAAAAATATGGAAAGAATATTAAAAGGTTTAGTAAACAAATAGCTAGTAATTGCTTTGACAAATAGTGAAGAAATACCTTGACAATATAACAAACCCTGATTTTCAATAGTTTTTTTATATAAAGTTTTAAGCTTTAGGTTTTCTACAATAAGATGTAATAAATCAGATCAATGTAAGTGAAAGGAAAGCTAACTGAAAAAAATCAGATTTTAATTTATTCAGTCTCAGATGTTGGCAGTGGTTCGTATATAGGTCTGGATCTTCTTGATGTGTAGAAAATCCCTCCACATACCAGGAGGCACCCAACGATGAAGACCAGATTCAGGCTCAGATTCAGACCTGGACCAGAAGCTGAAATTAAGAAAAACATTAAAAATATATTATAAAATCACATTACGGAGAAAACTATTAATTTCTTTAATGGCAAGCGTCCTTTGCGGTTCAGCTTAGAGCCGCACTGTCCGCTGCCGCTTTTACTATACATCCCAGAGGTCTACACATGGAGTTGGTTAATTTGGCCGAATTTCTAAGTAGTTAAATTACATAATTTCAAAATTTAAGGCAACTCAATGTATTAATTTCAACTCCAAACTGTTGTTGGAGATCCTTAAAAAGTGTTCTTTGTTTATTTGATCTATATTTTAAGCCAATAAAGTTCTGTTGATCAGAAAAGATAAGTTTACACCGGAAGGTCTGGAGGAAATCTAACCCTAAGGCCTGTGGACTTAATACCTAAACCTTATTAAATAGATTTGATTAAACTGGGACAGACTAGCAGTGCTTACTTCCGATAATGACTGTAAAAATACCCTGCAGTAAAGTACAACTGAACTTCTTAACACAATTATGTTCCTTATAAAGAACATCATAAAGAGTAGTAGAACAAAAGAACTTAACAAAACACTGATTAGCAGAATACCTACTAAGTTAAACCATAGAGTTTTTAGAGCTGAATGCTTACCTCTTGTGTCAGAGGTCTTGACAAGCTGCAAAGGTCCCTGGAAAATGGAGTGGCTGCTAGTTTGAGAAGAAGCTTCCCTTTTCCAGTGATTGTTTCTCTAATTCATGCATCCTTGAGAACAGCGAGTACCGGGAACACCACTCTCACATACGAGAACTGAACAGGTGATGTAGACCTGCAGGAAGAGGGAGAAGGAATCTCTTCAAACAGGGACTCAAATCTGTTTAAAATTTTAAAGACGTCCCATAAAAAAAAAAAAACATTACTGTCGAAATTCACAAAAAAACGAGTGGAAATAAAATATTGATTATCAAATAAGTCAAGTATTAAGAACATTGGGAGAAATAGTTTAATTAACTGGATAATAAGGTTGTTAGTTGAACCTCAAATAACCAAACTTAGAAAATAAGACAAACAAAACATTGAGAGAGGAGAAATCTAACAAGGAGAAGGAGAAGAACAAGAGGAAACCTGCTGGAAGAGCACCTCTCCTGACTCTAGCATTTTTCACCTTAAAGGAATAGTACACCCAAAACATGATTAGCCTTCATTTTCTACTCACCCCCATGCTGAACAACACTCTGGAGTACTTTTTTGATATCTCAAATGCATCTGGAGATCTGGGAGGCTTCTTGCTGTCTGCTGACATTCAAATAATGGAGGTCTATGGTGCCCGAGACAGAAAGGTCCATAAAAGTCCACAAAAAACGTGTCAATATTCCTCCATACTGCTCGTCCAATGTATTCCAAGTGTCCTGAGTGGGTAGCATCCAGAATTTACTCGAAACGAAGTCATTTAGAATGTTTTTAGAGCATAAACAGTAGTGTATAGGATTTCCTGAAAGCGCGCACACGCGCGCACACGCGCGCTCACGACGCTACGGAAGCCGGCAGACCAAACCATCGCATTCAGCTCGGCAAAGAACTCATGCTCTTCCTCAACACTGAAGTCCTCAGATATTTTTCTTTCGTTGTTTCTTTCTTTGCACAGGTAAACAGCAAATTTCTTCTTCTACGCTTGCATTATTGGAAGAGCAGACGCTGAATGCGCACTTTCATCTGGTTTGATCTGCCGGCTTCCGTAGCGTCGTGAGCGCGCTTTCAGGAAATCCTATACACTACTGTTTATGCTCTAAAAACATTCTAAATGACTTCGTTTCGAGTAAATTCTGGATGCTACCCACTCAGGACGCTTGGAATATATTGGACGAGCAGTATGGAGGAATATTGACACGTTTTTTGTGGACTTTTATGGACCTTTCTGTCTCGGGCGCCATAGACCTCCATTATTTGAATGTCAGCAGACAGCAAGAAGCCTCCCAGATCTCCAGATGCATTTGAGATATCAAAAAAGTACTCCAGAGTGTTGTTCAGCATGGGGGTGAGTAGAAAATGAAGGCTAATCATGTTTTGGGTGTACTATTCCTTTAAGGAGACAATAATGAGTTTGGAAATGCTTTCTAGGAAAATTTGAATGTCTTATTTTGATGTTGGCAAGTGACTAAAACAGTCAAAAATCTACAGCTCGTTGACACCATCTGTTGGTTGTTACGGAAACAGCAGGGGCCCCTATCTGCATAAGCTGAATTTTAAACCCTTTGTCTATTTTTAGAAAAGAAATTTTAACCCATTGGTGCTTTATGAGGAAACACTAAACCTGTTTATGCCCTTCGTAAGTATATAATAAGTATAATAAAACTTTCTCATGATTATGTCATGGATTAACCTTTTCCCAACTGCATAAAATGAGGTTTTTGTTATAATACTTATTTTTCCCTAATTTTCAAGTCAATTAAAGTAAATCTCTAAAATATTTGTATTAATCAGAATTGAGTTTTGCACAGTTAGTTATTCCATTCAAAAGGTTAAAGATAAAGTTGCATTTAATAAAAGCTCTTGAGCATCACCTCTTCATGAGCTCCGATAAACTCAAAAGCCTCCATTCCAAACCTGAACTGAGACTTTGAGCTGGGGAAGATCTGCACTGTCCTGTCCTTGACACATCTGAAAAACAAATAGCAAAATGGTTTAGAGACACAGACCTTCAACACTTCTTAGAGAAAGTTATTCTAAACTGGAAGGATTTTTTTTTTAACCGCACCCATTTTCAATGATGGTGTAGCTGATGCGGGAGTTGGGGTTGTTGTAGGGAGTCGCCCTGCAGGACTCCACAAACAGCTCAGTGTTGGGGATGGATGTGGTGGCCTCGATCTGCATGAAGATCATCTGCTTTAGGTAAACTTCCAGCGGGTAGCTGCTGGCGTCTACCTGCGTCCTGAAACGCTGGCTCTCAAAGAACTCAAACTGGAAGGTGAAAGCACCAAAGCCCTTCTCCCTGAAAGCATATGGGTTTTTATGTCTGAATCCTAGAGTCAGGTTGGTTCGCTTCGGATAGGAGCAGGAGAAGGCAATCTCAACGTCATGCTGTCTGGAAATTATTTCATTTGGATCAGCTGAAGTGATCTCATTCCTAAAATATATATTTTCTTCATCCTCCTGAAAAGGAAGAGAAATTCACAAAATCAGAAAGTTATTCTCAACAAATACTTTTTTGTAACCATTAAATGTTTTACTGGGATGACAAATTCTCTAAAATGAAACATCAAACATGTTTTGAACAAAATACACATTTTGTGTGCATAGGTTTAACATTTAATGGTTTGTGTTCAAGTTTACTCTGTATTGGCATCAATGAATTGCTCGATCATCAATATTGGATTTCCTACATCATCAGATTGTCTTGTGAACTTTACCTCGACACGAGTCCCACAGGCACCAATGGAAATGGAAGCCACCACATGGGTGTCACTGGAGAGAGTTTCCAGGTTGCAGGAAGAATCTGTGAAGTCATTCAGATGCAGATTTTCCTCATTGCGTCTGATGATGTAGGTCTTAGCAATTTCCACTGTAATAGTTGTTTCATTGCAGGTCACAACAGCAGCTACATATCAGAAAATGGTATGATCAACGTTAGCTAGCAGGGGAATTCAAAAAGTATCGTTTAAGTGAGGCTGAAACAGTTTGGTTAGGATGGTAAGAAATGAACATCAAGGCAAGGCTTTATTTGGATACCATGTCTCAAAAACAATAATGGGAACTTATAAGTAGTTGATTTGCAAAATAGAAGATCTAAACAAACTAGGACTTTCCATGATATTTATTTTCCAGTAACACTTTTGAAATTGAATCTGAAACACATTTCTAAATCCAAGCCTTGCACTGAGAGTGATCAAAAAAGGCAAGATAAGCCTGAGTATGGTTAACTACAATCAAGGCTAAAGGCATGAGGGATGCAAAAATATTGTACTGATATGCTCTATCTGTAACTCCTTAAGTTTGTATATAACACTACTGTCTTTATTCTAATAGACAGTCACGAGTTCACATAGAGATAGAATGAATCAGTTGGTCCAATAGCGCCATCTGGTGCCAAACAAGACTATTTATGGTGTGACAACCCAACAACTCCAACTGTCCACATTATCTGCAGTTCATCTTCTAAACAGCCGTCATTCACTCTGTCTACTCCAATCACAATGTGGAGTAGATCATCAATAATAAAAAAAAAAAAGTCAGGTCAATAGTGCAGTTAACTGGGAGGATACTGCAAAAAATAAAAATCTCAATAAGTAATTTCTTTCTTAAACTAAGGGATTTTTTTCTTGAATTGAGGAGGTAAGTGAAACAATTTGCCAATGGAACAAAACAATTTACATTCCAAAACAAGAAAAAAATTTCATTGTCTCATCAGAGTGCATATTATCTAATTATGCTAACATCAATTAATTCTACCAGTTGATTTAGGATGGAGTTAATGCTGATTTAATATCAATAAAACAAAGAAATAACTCATGCAAGGTAAAAAGGAAATTATTCAAGCTTGTATTTTTACATCTTGCATATATAATTATCTTGTTTTTAGACAGCGTGGGCCATTTTAATCTCATAAATGTCTGTAAAACATTTTTAAAGAAGTGGTTAAACTCCTTGAATAATAATTAAATTGGAAAACAGCAATATGGGGGGAGTGGTGGCCTAATGGTGGGAGCATTGTGGCTGGGTTCGAGAGCTTTTGAGTTCAACTCCCACAGACTGCCACTCTGGGTTCCTGAGCAAGACCGTTAAGCCCACACTGCTACCCGGGCGCTGCACAGTGACAGCCCTCTGCTCCCCAACGGGATAGGATAAAAGCCAAGAGGGAATTTCTCCAGTTTTGAATCAACAAAGTTCAATTATTATAATTATTAACATAGTTTACAAGCTGACTTTTTGTATTGACTTACCATGGCGGCCAACATCAACAGTCACGCAGCGTAGCTCTGAGTGATAGACTCTGTTGGACCTGGATGTTAAGAAAAAACAGCTAGTATAAATAATTGAAACCAACAAAAAAATAAATAAATCCACTTTTTTACTTTGTTTTATTCAGCTAGCTGACTAATACACCATTTACTATACCTTTTCTCAGAGCACGGTAACCAAGATAACTGTTGAGTGAAACTGGAATGCAACTGAACTGGACCGTGCCAGACACAAGCAAAACGTGCTAAATCTACTGTAGTACTGGTCAACAGTAGAGCTCAGCAAGGTTCATCTGTAGCTTAGTTCTCAAAGAGTGCATGAGCAGACTTCGTCAGCTCCTATTTACAGTCAGCTGACTCATTTAACTTGTTTTCGGCCGTTTTCCGGCTTTGCAATTCACAGATCTTTTCAACTGTTCACAACACGTACTTCTTCTCAGATTATTAACAATAGATGATTAGGAGAGATGGGATCTATCCCGCTCTGGATGGTGCAGCTCTTCTTCCAAGGAATCTGGCCAAATTTGTTAGTCTTCCAAAACACTGACCAGCCAGGGTGCAGACCAGGAAGCAGAATCGTAATTTCACACACCTCTCTGCAGCTTCTCTACTTTTACCAAATCCTTACTCCATCCAGACAGAGTCATTATAATCTAGTTAAATAAAATTAATTCCAATTGGGGAAAAAGTTAAAATGATTAAATTTGGTTTATCTTTCTTTAAAAAGTCTGTTAGTTGACGACGATATCTCTATTTAATTTTCATTAGAACTCTGGGCAATTTTGGATCAGCAGAAGGCTTCTAACTTCAGTTTGTGGACTTCCTGATAGTAAAGAATTACAACAGTCCTGCCTTGAAGTAACAAATGCATGCTATCTTAGACGCTATTGGCTTTGTTCAAAATGTGAAAAGTCCCACACATTCTCATCTTCATACTTTGGATCTTGTGCTGACGTATGGCATTGAATGCGAAGGAATAACAGTATTTCCTCACAACCCTGTCCTCTCTGACCACTTTTTAATAACTGTCAGAATTACTATAACAGAGTTCTCCTCCCTCCCAAAAAGGTTTCACTATAGCAGATTCCCCTTCACAGGTTGATGATTTTCTTGATGAGTTGCTAGTTCTCTGTGTACTGCCTTAGACAATGCAACCCATTTGAAAATGAAAAACTTTAAAGATACAAAACTGGCTGCCTAGTTTAATACAGAGCTGCACACTCTGAAGCAAAATGCTGGGATACTGGAGAGAAAATAGCACTCTACATACCTACCGGAATCCTACCTAGTCTGGAAAAATTGTTTACTGCTGTATAGGATGACCCTTCGTAAAGCAAGAGCAGGATATTTCTCCTCATTAATAGAGGAGAATAATAGCCATAGAATCTAATCCAGGTTTAGAGTGCTTTGATCATGGTGAACTTTCAGAGTCAGCAAAACTATTGTCTTCATCTAAGCCTTCAAATGTGTTAAGCCTTGTCACACCTTGATGATTTAGCCAGCATACACTGATGCCCCAGAAGATTTCTTTGATGGCAATATTAACCTAGCTGCTGTTTACCGCCCATCCACCCAAAAAATAAATAAATGAACAAAAAGAAAAAAGAAAAAGAAAGAAGGTTTGCAGTCGCAGCAGATTCAGCGTCATGTCTGCCAGGAACGTTGTTGGTCATGGCCGTGGGCATTAACTCAGGGAGGATCACGCTTACCTTCTTGCTCACCATACAACTGGAGCAGAGTCAAATTGAAGAGATCTTGCTGATTGTGGATGTCAGCAGATAGGAGGCGAGGAACCTTTTAGCGTAATGTGTCAATGGTTGTAAGAACCAAGCTCGGCACACGGATTCAGAGAGCTAGTGGAAAGGGGGCACACAAAAAAACTCACCTATCTCTGCCCTCAGAGACAAAGCAAATTGGGAAATGGTCATTCAGGTTATCCTCAGTAGGTGTCCATTTTATGGTGTATGTATCGGCAGAAACACTCTCCTTTGAAACCCCACGTGGTCCTGTCACAATCAGATCACGTATCCTAAATAAAAATGTTGAATTGATGAAGATGTTAAGAAACTCACAGGTAGAGAGTATTATTGCACTATTTAAAACACAAGTAAAGAAAGAGACAATGTATTTACGTTGTGAATTGAGCTTTGGATCTGACTTCAATTTCAAGGGTATGATTGACGTATGCAGGAAGATTTACTCCATTAGCCGGAGTTGGTGCCAAGAAAATGGGAAAGTAATCACCATCGAGGCATGAAGGAGCGGTGTGTGAGTCCACTGAAAATGAGACAATAAATGTGTAAGAAGTAGTAATTGGAGAGAAATAGTTGAATGGAGGTTCTACATACCCAGAACAGTGAACTGCAGAGGGAGCTTGCTTAAAGGATCGATAGATGAACTGTAAGCTTGTGTGGTCTGAGCAAATGTGGTTACAGGTGGGGGAAATGTGGAGGTTCTTGGGGCAAATGAGGAAGTGGTTGGAGCAGCTGGAGTATTAGTTTGGGGAAATGTGGTGGTTGTTGGGGCAAATGGGGAGGTGGATGGAGCAGCTGGAGTATTAGTTTGTGGAGATGTGGTGGTTGTTGGGGAAAATGTGGTGGTTGTTGGGGCAGATGGAGTATTAGTTTGTGGAGATGTGGTGGTTGTTGGGGAAAATGTGGTGGTTGTTGGGGCAGATGGAGTATTAGTTTGTGGAGATGTGTTGGTTGTTGGGGAAAATGTGGTGGTTGTTGGGGCAGATGGAGTATTAGTTTGTGGAGATGTGGTGGTTGTTGGGACAAATGAGGTTGTGGTTGGAGCAGCTGGAGTATTAGTTTGGGGTGGTGGTTTTTAAGGGAAATGTGGTGGTTGTTGGGGCAGATGTGGTGGTTAATATGGCTTGGCGTTTACGTCGTGTCATTGTTTGGGGCCACTTTATGGTGTAGGATCCATCGGAGTAGGACAGAGTTATGTCTTTGTTGGGGAAGTCCTCCACCACGAGCTCCACTGGGTAATATCCGGTCCTTTGTCCTGGGTTGTATGTGAGGGAGCAGGAATTCTAACATGGAGAAAATGTTGTTATTGCTTTCAATCTACTTTTTCAACAACTAACCTTGAAGCATTTTAGTTAATAGTTGCATAAAGATTTGTCTAAGTGGGACACAAATTAATAACTGTTATGTAGAAATGTATAGAGTGGCCTTTCATTTTGCAAATGTTTTCCATTCCCTTATTTCACAAACATTCAGAATAATGCCACAACACTTAAAAATAAAATGTAAGATATGAATATGAATTATAGATTTTTACCTGATCGAAAGAGAAACCATTGACAAGACTGCAAATTCCACACTCATATGTAGCAGATGTAGTGGGAATCCTGCACCTGACGTTGTCACCATCAGGGTCAAATGTTGGGATATTGAAAGTTCGAGGGCAGTTCCTGGGCACTCTGTTATGTGAAATTAAACTGATTAGAAAGTCTCACAACTGAGGAGATATTATATCTGATTTAACTTCTCCTTTTTCTATCATCATGAAAAAAATCTTATGTGGTTCTGAATCCAACTCTTTTAGGATTTTTTTAAAGGGACTCCATGGAGAAATAAGTTTCATACAGTGTTGTTTTGGTCAACAATGACTATGACCAAAACATTTTGTAGACAAAGATTTTTTTTTTACGACAATAAGACAACAACAAAAAAACACGGTTCTTACACTATCAAAATATGATGAGACATACATGAGTCCTACCCTTTCTTTGCCTTGCAGCTATATTTGCTGTCCAGCAGCAAAACTTCAATTTTTCCATCTCGAGCAGCAGCAGCGCGTTGGCGTCGCGTCACATGCTTAAACACTCCCGACGCGCTGCGCCTGCTGCTCAAAACGCGCTGCGGGACCTTTTGCTGCGCCTATACACGCGTCAACCAATGACTTTGCATGTAAACTCGCTGCTTTTGCTGCGCCTGCTAGGTCCGGTTCACACCGATGTCAAGCGGTTGAATAACAGCAAGCACAGCGTTCATTTGTTTCACCATGTTTTTCACATCAGCTGTGAGATAGCCACGCATGGAGTCACAGATTAACAGTGATGGTGATGAGTGGAAAAAAACCACATTGTCTCACCTCCCTCAGCCACTCTTTCATCATCTCCTCAATGAGGAGATGAGGAGTTCTGCATAAAGCACATAGCCTGGGTGCCATTCCGAACTTAGTCCCCCCCACAACGTTTGAGGTCGGGAAGTTCGGTCTGGCATTGCTCAATAGTAGCGCGAGTATGCTCACACAATATCTGGCGGGCCAATCAAATTGTCAGGGCGGGCTTTATACGATGATGGACAGATGATCAACAGAAAAGTAATCAACCACGTCACCAAAGCGCGCTTGGGTGACAACAACAATGGCTGCCGCTGGAGAGTTGAGGTGTGTAGATTCTGCTATTAGGTCTGTTCTAGAAGATATCGACAACAAATTAATTTTAAAAGAGGAACAGAGAAACACGATCAAGGCTCATCTTCTTATTCTAGGCGTACAACTGCACACTTTGATTTTTGTTGACAACAACTATGCGTCGCTTAACATACGTCACGCACTCCGTTGCTCTTATTGGTTGTAGGTCTATCCAATTGAGTGCAGAGGCATTTTTTTTCCTGGTTCGTTCGAAACACGCCCCATAATCACAGCTCTATGGAGCAGCATCAGACTCATATTCTGACTAGAATTGAGTAGGACTACGTCAGGCTATAAAGCACATACCTGTTCTTTCATACACAATCCACGCCCACACTTCCCCCTTTAACGTTCTCACAAGTCCGCAGTAACAACACACATAGGGCGCACCGCACCAAAGGGCGCGCCGCACATTTTGAGGGGAAAAAAAGACGTTTATATGCGCCTTATAGTCGTGAAAATATATATATATATATCGAGTAAGATATATGCAGCATTTTAAAAGTTATGTGAATGACCTTACAAAAAAAAAATCTGATTTAAAAAAAAATATGTAATTAAGCATTAAGACCTACAGTGGAAACATAGCCTTAAGGAGCCATTACTATTAAAACGATTATTATTGGAAAAAGTGCTACAGCTTCTTGTATCTCTGGTTTTTAGTGGAGACAGAAAGCCCTTCACACCAAACTAAGTTCTGGTTCTGCTGGAGGTTTCTTCCTGTACATACGCTTTTTTTTTTTTACCTATAATTGTTGCCACTTAATATGCTGCAAAGTTAAGAACTTAATGCAAAAGGCTGAGTTTTCTTAAATGCAAAACTGTTTACCTGTCATACTACTAAATTGAACCTGACTTCAATGCTTTATGGCGAGGAATGACTCTTAATGTCTGACATGTTCCAACAATCTTTTAAAATCTGCTCTTATAGTATAACAGATTTATGGTCAAATAGGGAAAGTAAAAGGAGAACAAGCAAACAATGAGCGGCTACCTGATAAGATGAGGTGTGATGATGGCAGGAGGTCTGTTAGATTCACCAGTGTCTGATCGGATTCCCATGTCCACATGTGTCATCATTCTCAACTGGCGGTAACTACCTCTGACGTTTCCGATCCAATAGCCAAAACCCCAGGAGTATTCATATCTGTAAGGATATCTGTTGACAACATGTTTAATAAGATAAAACGCTATCATTATCAAATAATCTTTATTAAATGTTATATAGCTCAATGGGTTTACAATATTTAAGAATTTTTGGGGATACAAAGAAAAATAAATATTCTGATTTTCAAACTTTAAAACTTTTCAAGGTCTTATATTCAGTGTAGGAAGCTTATCAGAGCCCACCCCATGTCAAAGGACAGATTGCTGGTCAGTTTTCTATTTGTTCTCACTTCATACTGTCTCCAGGTGACACCATAAGAACCAGAAGAGACGGATTCCACAGAGCGCTGTGTCTGGGTCCCACAGTTACCTCTCCAGCAAGTTCCATCAACATATGAATGGTGGTAGTAATATGGAGTGTTCCTTTGTCGAAGTTCTACCTGCAAAGATTCACAGTAAATCTTGTTTTACATTTGCCCAAATAATGCACATTTTATACAAATTATTTAATCTATAAAGGGAAAAAAAGGTGTTATTTTTGTCCGAATTAATCCCTTATTTTTAAGCAGAGCTTTATACTCTAAAAGATGTGGAAGAAGACTCACCTCATTGGTTCCATCTGCGTTCCGTCCCTTTGAGGTGAAGGCTACTGATCCACCATAGGACCGGTAGTAGCTGGATGCTGCAGACGCAGCAGCGACCAGGAACAACAGAAGCAGCAGAAGCGGTGCAAGAGATGTCATGCTGATGAGGATCTGTCCCTCACAGAAATTGACCATTTTTATACTTTTCTATAAGGAAATACCTAGATCATTTACTGAAAGCAGGATTAATGAAGATCAACCAGTTTAACCAGATTTTTTTTTCTGACAGATTGCAATCAGACTAGGTTAAACACATTTGTCCAAAACACAATAGCTCCTTAGATATCAGAACCAACATTGTTTTTTTTTCCCTGTTTATTTAAGAGTGTAAGAGGAAGCTAGAGGTGAGTTAAAATTTTGTGAATGACAAAAACTAAACTTGAACATTTTAGATATTCAGGTTGTTCTACCGGTCTTAACACATATTTTGGGTGGGCCTATGTTTTTTAAATAATGTAAAATAAAGATAACGCGGTTGACTTATCAACTGTATTACCAGAAATATCACTGACCATTTGTGAAAATCGAAATTACACATAAGTCTAGAATTTCATCCTGAAACATTTTTGGAAGATAGACTTTTATAACATTCGGAATAGGCAACACTAAGCTCATTTGCATCCAGACATTTTGAATTACATTTTGAATTGAATTACATTTTAAATGTAATACCTGAAACTCTCTTTTCCATTTCTTCCATTTAAAGATTGGCTACAATTGGTGACATTGGAGATCCCATTGCACAACCATGCTTCTGTCTATAAAAATTATCTCTGAATTTGAAATAGGTTGTGGAAAGACTAAGGCCCAGTAGTATGCAGACCTGGTCCAGAGTGAAATTAGTCCTATTGTTTAAGTCACTATCTTGTTGAAGACGTGTCCTGACTGTTCCCACTGCCTCTGATTCACCAAAGAAAAAAAAATCTGACAGCGTATCTCATAATTACAAGATCAGTATCTCGTAATTACGAGGTATTATCTCGTAATTTTGAGATAAGATACGCTGGTTAAGAGGTGTGACAGGGGCTTAACTGACCTAGTTACTGATTTTCTTTTAACGTTCACACAAAAAATACAACAAAACTCTCCTGACTAAATCAGGAAATAAAAAAATGCAAGCAGAGCAGAGACAGAGGACAGTCTGAGAAAACCTGTTTCTGATCAGGTTAGCTCTGGACAGAACAGAGTGACAGATATAGTGGTTGAGGAAACTATTTGTGAAACAGAAAACTTTCACTGATCTCAGGATTAGATAACTTAAAGTTTTCACTAAACCTGCTGAGTGAAACGAGCCTCTGGATGGTAACAGCATGACAGTGGAGGACGAGTAAAGGTCAAACAAAAGGCAAAGACGTAAATAGTACAGGAATTAACTGGAAATCGGAGGTGGTAATAATCAATTGAAAACACCAACAAGTAATTTATGGTGTCAAGTTAAACAACTGTAAATAAATTAAGTTTGTTCATCTTGATATGAAGCCAATTTAAGAAATGTTTTTATTTTAGAGATCTTAGCTTCCCTTCACTTGCTTTCATTCATAACCAGAATGGAATTTAATATCCTTGTTCTCACTTATAAAGCCATAAATAACCTGTCATGATGGGTTCACTAAAGGAGACCCAGATATGCAGAACACCACTGACGGACACAAGGATGAAAAGTTTAACAGTTTATTTAAGCACAACACACAGAATGTACTGATTCTGGTTTGGGCCTGAATTCTGGTTCACCGGAGTCTGCGTGAGAGACAGCACAGTTAGGGACTGCTGACAGGGTTTGATTTCCAAAGGTTCACTGATTGTACCTTGAGGGTTCTTGAGGTTTACTTTGGGAGAGTCACTGTTGGTTCTGGAGAAGAGTTTATCAGCAGAGTCCGTTTGCTGCTTCAGCGTCTCACGTCTTAGCTTGAACAGACCTTGGCTTAGATTTCCCAGCTCAAGTCCAGAGCTGCTTGGGGGTTCTCTGTGAATCTTCAGGGTTTGGCTCAGAGGGTCGGCTCGGCAGGTTAGCTCTCCCAGAGCTTTCACAGAGGAGGCACGGGTTTCCTGGAAAAAAGAGACAGTAGTTAGAATCCAACCTGGATTCAAAGTCATGGAGATACACTGAGGATCTAGGCTTTAGCGCTGACCAACTGGAACAACACTGCGGCATTGAGGCAAGGTCTGAAGACAGCTTAAGTAGTGGATCCTCTGATGATCTTGATGAGCTGCAGCTGTGCAGGAAGCTCCCTCAGAGGATCCACGGCGGACTCTGCTGGAGAAAGAACGCTCGTACTCCTCGATGAGTGCAGGGTCGAGGATGTACGAGCCTGGGACACACTGGCGATCCTCCGGTCCGTAGCCCTCCCAGTCGACGAGGTACTGCCATCCGCGACCTCGTCGACGGGAGTCCACAATGCGGCGCACTGTGAAGGCCGGATGGCCATCGACCTCCAGGGCGGGTGGTGGGGAGTCGGACGGCGGGCACAGAGGGCTCGAAGAAACAGGTTTGATCTGGGAGACGTGGAATGTAGGGTGGATTCGGAGGGACTGAGGTAGTTGGAGACGAACAGCTGAGGGGTTGATGACTCGAGAGATTCTGAAAGGTCCAATGAATCTCGGGGAGAGTTTTCGAGACATCCCCTTGAGGGGGATGTCTCGGGTGGAGAGCCACACCTCCTGGCCCTCAGAGTACTCGGGGGCGGGACGTCTCTTGGCGTCGGCGAAACGTTTAACGGATGCAGATGACTGGTTGAGTGGGGCGATGGTCTCCCTCCAAATCCTTTGACAGCGACGGATGTGTTGATTGACGGACAGCACCGATATCTCTCTCTCATCTGCGAGGAAAAGAGGTGGTTGATATCCGAGACTGACCTGGAATGGGGATTGTCCAGTGGATGCAGAACGGAGAGAGTTGTGGGCATATTCAATCCATGGGAGGAATTGACTCCAATCCACGGGGTTATTAGACGTGAGGCAACGGAGGGTGGATTCCAACTGTTGGTTCATGCGTTCGGTCTGACCATTCGATTGGGGGTGGTAACCTGAGGTGAGAGAGGGTTTGCAGCCGAGAGCAGAACAGAAAGCCTTCCATACCTGAGAGATGAATTGGGGACCTCTGTCCGAGAGGATTTCTTGGGGGATGCCATGAAGCCGGAAAACATGTTTTATGAGAAGCTGTGCTGTCTGGAAGGCCGTGGGAAGTTTTCTGAGGGGAACTAGATGGCAGGACTTCGAGAAACGGTCAACAATGGTTAGTATGGTGGACATACCTCGAGAGACAGGGAGACCGGTGACGAAATCAATGGCGATATGAGACCTTGGACGCGAGGGAACAGGAAGTGGTTGAAGCAGGCCAGAAGGAGGTTGGTGTGAGGCCTTGTTACGGGCACATGTGGGGCAAGCCAACACATACTCCTTTACGTCCCTGTGGAGAGTGGGCCACCAGAAGCGTCTGGAGATGAGAGCAACTGTTCTACTCACTCCAGGATGAGCGGAGAATTTGGCGGCATGCATCTACTGGATAAGACGGGACCTGACAGAAGATGGGACATATGTACGGTTAGATGGACCGTTACCTGGATCGGGTTCAGTGGCCAGGGCTGAGTTGATGAGGTCAGTTATCTCCCAGTTGACCACCCCTACTGTACATGAAGCCGGAAGGACTGGTTCAGGTGTCTCAGGATGATCGACGGAGTAGAGACGAGAGAGAGAATCGGGCTTCACGTTCTTGGATCCGGGTCTGTAGGAAATGATTAGGTTGAAGCGGGAGAAGAAGATTGACCACCTGGATTGGCGAGGATTAGCCTGTTTAGTTGACTGGATGTAAGCCAGGTTTTTGTGGTCTGTCCACACAAGAACCGGGTGCTCAGCTCCCTCCAGCCAATGCCTCCATTCTTCCAACGCCAGCTTGATAGCCAGGAGCTCTCGGTCACCCACATCATAGTTCTGTTCAGCGGAAGAAAGCCTACGGGAGAAGAAAGCACATGGGTGTATCTTTTGGTCTGAGTCCAGCCTCTGGGAAAGAACGGCTCCAACGCCGGAATCTGAAGCATCCACCTCTAGGATAAACTGCTTTGCGGGGTCAGGTTGAATAAGGACAGGAGCTCTGTAAAACAAGGATTTTAATCTTTCGAATGCTGTTTGAGCCTCGGGAGTCCACTGAAAAGTTCGTTTTACAGAAGTCAGGGAGGTTAATGGAAGGGCGGTTTGACTGTAGTTTCTTATAAATCGACGATAGAAGTTGGGAACCCTAGAAACCTCTGAAGTTGTCTTCGGTTCTCTGGAACTGGCCAGTCTAAAACTGCTTTGATTTTGTCCTCTGAAGGTCTTACCTGGCCGCCCTCGAGCACAAACCCCAAAAAGGTGACTGAAGGTTGATGAAATTCGCACTTCTCGGCTTTCACGAACAGCTTATTCTCCAGTAGTCTCTGTAAGACAAGACGGACATGTTTCTTGTGCTCATGGAGGTCCTTGGAGTAAATGAGAATGTCATCGATGTACACGAAAACAAACACGTTGAGGAAGTCTCTGAGAACATAATTTACTAGGGCCTGGAAGCAGGCTGGAGCGTTAGTTAGACCAAAGGGCATTACAAGGTATTCGAACTGGCCCAAGGGTGTTTTAAAGGCAGTTTTCCATTCTTCGCCCGCACGTATCCTAAGGAGATGATAGGCGTTTCTTAAATCCAGCTTGGAAAACACTGTTGCACCCTGTACTGGTTCAAAAGCAGAGGCGAGAAGAGGCAGTGGGTATTTGTTTTTAATTGTGATCTGGTTCAAACCTCGATAATCAATACAAGGTCTCAGGGAACCATCCTTCTTGCCCACAAAGAAGAAACCGGCGCCCAATGGAGAGGATGAAGGACGAATTATTCCAGCAGCTAATGATTCGTTGATGTATTTTTCCATAGTTTCTCTTTCGGGCTTGGAAATGTTATACAATCTGCTGCTAGGAAGAGGAGCACCAGGTAAAAGTTCAATGGCGCAATCGTATGGTCTGTGTGGAGGTAGGGACGTCGCACTGACCTTACTGAAGACAGGGGCTAAGTCATGGTACTCAGAGGGAACTGAAGAAAGGTCAGGAGAGTCCATCTCCCCCCCCCACCTCTAGGAAACCCCACCATAGGGGCAGCAGAACGAA